TGACCTCAACACCTTCTACACCCGCTTTGAGACCTCCAGCCACAGCACAGCGAGGAGGCACACACACCTGGACTCCTAAACAGATGACTCAGGATCTACCTCATGTAATTCCATTTGTACTGTTTACATACTCATTTTGCACCTGCACAATTGCACATTCACTGCTGAGTATTTACACTCCACAGCTCCCACGTAGCGTATATTCTCTATGTAGTACTTTGTGTTCTTGTATTTTTATTGTGCTTCTTTCACTTGCTGCTTTAAAGTGCCTTAGATGTGTTACTGCCTATTTAGATTTGTTATTGCTCTTCTACTTTATATTTCACTTGTACTGTGAAAAGTAAAGAAAAGAAAGAATTTCATTGTCCAAGGAAACACGTTTCCTTACTGTGCATATGACCAATAAACACTTTGACCTTTGACGTTAGCTGTGGCACTGAGAGCTGAACTGGTGTCACCTAGAGGCCATCAGAGGAACTACACATGCAGACCCTCTGCTCTGGAGGCTTCTGATTGGTTCAGCCATGTTTCTGAGCGTGCCGGCTCTGCACAAGGTCACACTCTTTGTACAGGGAGTTTGGCCTTCAGGTGATAAGACTTTATTAGCACAGACACACAATGTTCAGGCCAGGTCTCCCTTGATCTTAGTGGGACTTTCTGGTAAAATAAAAGTGAAATAAAGATTACAAATACCAGAGGTGACTACAGCCAAACCTGTTTTCTATTTGTGTGTCACTGTGTGAACCTGAACGCAGCAGCGGTTCACGCAGTCTGTCTCTGGAGCCTCAGTAGCAGGCTAATAATAGCAGCCCAGTGGCTTCTTGCATAATCGTGTACAGCTGCAGAGGAACTGGGTGCCTGTAGGCTGCAGCCATCAAGCTGCTGATCACAAACAGACAACACGATCTGGTTAGACTCAGTGCTGAGCAGCCCATCAGGCACAGAGAGGCTAAAATAAAGTCATTATTTATTCAAGCTGTGTTATCACAACAATAATGATAAGAGCTTATTAAAAGGCTGTGGTACAAAGTACATTCACTCAGGTACTGTAGGTTTCACAGCAACACATTTAATTTATTTACTTTGAAAATTGAGATTTTTTTGGCAGTAAAGCTGAAAAACAGCTGATTATTTAAATCATTTTATTTTTACTAACTGAAACTTGGGCCTTGTGAAGGTGTCACTTCAGTAAAGTTTCTCTTTATTTTCAGAATTGTTGTCAGTGACCTCAAACAGCAGCTCTGGCCTGTTCAGCCATCAGGGTTCCTTCGGTGCTCTCAGCACTAAAATGCTGTTTACACATTAATGCATGCCTGAGGAACATAAATACTCAGTGTTTTGCTGTGGCTGTGCCACTTTTTCCACCAGGATTCGTGTGAAACAGCGAGGAGAAAACATGGAGAAGGATGGACAGATGGAGGATGGCCGCCGCCCGTGGAAGATCGTCACAAAGCAGGGAAAATAAAGGTGTGTGAATCCAAACAGACGCCGACTGCTCACACACTCGTCCTCTCTCTTCACACTTGTATCACTCGCTCTCTCTCTCCCATACAAACAGATGCTCTCTCCGACACCCTGTCAGTGTTTTTGTCAGTTTGCAATATTCACAGCGATCCAAACACCAACGCCACCAGCTCCCGCTGCGCGAGTGCTATTACAGATGAAAGCTGCTTAACCAGCCGGGCCGGCACTTTCGCTCGCAGGACAATAGACTGTTAATACCAACTTAACGGGTGAAATTCTTTCAGTAGAGTTTCATAAGACTGACCCTCAGTTAGGGCCGGGGGGTATGACCAGTGTTATGGAGGACTCACAGGTGTAATCACTTTTTCTGTCTACATGAACTCAAGACAACATGCTTCAAAAATAGTTTTCTTTTTGAAAACTAAATGCATAAACCGCAACAGGTTTGTTGTGCTGCCAATTTTAGTTCAATTAGTCTTCACAAACTTCACCGAACCATTTCACTGCGCTAACATGACAAACTGTCTTTATTTACTAAATACATGCAAGGTTTCTGCCCCACAGTGACGATATGTGTCCTGTTACCAGAAAACACAAAAGACAGGCCTCAAACTTTAAGAAACACTAAAACTACTGGCTCACCAAAACCTCCTGAAGAACTTCTGCAGCCCCACTAACGGCTCTGGAGCAAATTCAGGACTTAAACGTGCTCAATTTGAGGAATGGGCAGGGCAAATTAAAGGCTGTTCCTGTCTCCATTCCATTCATACATGAGGGTTTTAACAGAAAGACTTACTTCAAATTCAATGGCAGAATTAGTTTCAGGTCCCAGATTGACATTATGACAAGAGTTGAAGGGTCAAAGGTCACATAAAACATACTTGACTACCTGCAGGATGTTGTCAGCACTTGGAATTGTTTCTGCACATCTCAACAGATCAGATGTGGTTAGTAGTTTCTGTCCCTGTGTTATCTTTTGCATTACTGAGCAGTGAGGTCGGACGATAATCTGCCACCACGTTTAAGATTTTATAAACACGGCTTGTCTCACATTCTGTGCCGTCAGCTGGATTCCTCTGTAATGTGATGACCGAAGGAGGCTGACAGAGGAGCATTTATCAGCTCAGGGGAGGAGATGAAGTGGTGAGGTATGACGCAGGTCAACACCCAATCCCAGCCCATGCCATCCACCTAAAAATTTGCAATGGGTTTGTAATCACAAAGTCAAGCTGAATCCCTCAAGGAGGAAGAAAGACATGAACAATCCCCCCATTTGCTATTCAACTGAAGTTATTTCCCCTGGAGACACTGAAACCTCATCAAAGTTAATGAGGCCTTACCTAATCAGATGCAACACCCGTGAAGCCATGCAGCCCCTGACACTTTGGAACTCTTCACTGTCCAGAAACCTCCTCAGGTGGCGCCAGAACCTCACAAAACTCCCTAAATCCAACTCCATGACCTTTATAACTTGAATAAATATCTCATAGCCCCATTTAAAGACACCTTTAGAAACACCTAAATCTGATGCAATCTCCTCACACACATGTAGGACCTCACAGTGACCCCTCAGACCTCACTGGTGCCCAAGAACCCTACTCAGATACAACTAATTATTCCCTAGACACCTTCAGCAATCTTTAGAGCTGCTGCAAACACAATTCAGCTATCCACTTCCCCAGGGGCACAGGGGGCCAAACCTCAAAGCACACTTTAGGCCGTGGGCCGAACAGGATAAACATTTATCGAACAGACTAAAACTACTTGTAACCCAGTGCTGAAACACCAGTCAAACCTGGAATAACTGTACAGTTATTAACTTTGCAGAGTGATTAAAGGACTAATAAATATAGGTTAAAAATGGGTTCATCAAGGGATTATTGAATGGTGTTGGGTGGTGGTGAGGAAACCAGTGCAACTGCAAAAGTGTTTTGTGACGGTGTGAGCAGCCAACCAGCTGAGTTGGTGGGCTCTCTCATCAGCCAGTGGGGTTGGTTGTCCCTCCCCTGGGAGCAAACATCTTGTTTGAGCTCGACATCGTGTGGGAGCCTCATGGTTGCAACACATGAAATTTGGAGAACTTGTGAAACGGGAATATTGTGGAGTAGAGATTTTGAGGTGAAGGAGGGTTGTGGACCGGCCGGGACCTGGGAACCCACTGGATGGCGAGCCTGAGCCCAAGGAACCGAACTCAGTGGTAGCCAGCAACTCACCTGGGTAAAAGAACAT